AGTTCTCTCTCTCTCCCTCCCTTCCTCTCTCCCTTCTTCCCTCCGTTTCTCCCTCCCTCCCTACTCCCCTCTCTTCTCTCTGTCTGTCTCCAGACAGTGCATTGCCATTTAGCCCAGGTTTAGTCCTGACATCATGATCTTCCTGCATCGTCATCCTGCAAAATGTATTTTTATATAATTTTTTTTTCAGCGAACATTCATCTATAAATAGAGAGGGTCTGAAGTCATATACCGTAAAAAGGGAGCTCGCTCTAGTCTAGGAAGATGATGGGTTAAAATATATGCCTTCTCTCCTGATAGCCCTGGCAGAAACTCCCTGCCCTTGCTGTGGTGAGGATACAGTTTGATGTGGTCCATGCTCATTTAAAAGCCCTGTCCCCTACCTTTCTCTAACAATCTTGTGTATTTCAGAGCTTTCCTTTGCCCTTTCCTGGATAATCTCGTGGTTAGTCCTGCATGTCAGATGTGTCTTTTCCCTGGGCGTGGCGACAGGTCCAGAGGGCAGCACAAAGCCTGGCTTTTTAAAGTCCTCCCTTTCATTTGTGCCCAGCAAAGCCAAGAAAGGTGCTCTTTATTTCCTTGAGATCGTCAGCTTCAAAGTCAACAGCTGCCCCAGGGCTGAGGAAGATTACGTGAAACAAACAAAACAATGAAATCCAAGAGCCATTTGTGATCTCTGGCATGCTGCAAGCTGCCAGCTCTGGCCTCCCCTTCTCAATATTGCTTGCAAGCCAAGCTCCTTCCCGACTCCCTCCTCTGCACCAAAAGCCTGTGCTCAGATGGCTCCAGCTTCAGGGCACAGCTCAGCTTCCCAAGCCCAAATGAGTCCAGGATAAAAGCGTAATGAAATTTATCAACAATAACCTTCTAATCAATACATACATATGTGTACATATATGTATATGTGTGGTGTATATGTATGCATGTTTGTCTGCATGCATGTAAAAATTCTCATAAAAAGGCTAATCACTCACCAGTACTTAATTCAAGACAGTGTCTCTGTGGATATGTTAGATTTTTATCATACCTAAAGACATTTTAATTACTTTGCCGGCAAGAAAGGCTACATTCAGAAATTAATAAATATTGCCTAATGGTTAGAAGTGATGTCATGAAATCTGGACATGGATTTAAAAGTCATGCATCCACTTCACGGGAAAGAATTGTTAGATGTACACCTCTAATGCAGCCTACATTGAGATGGTTGGCTTCCAGCCCCAGGTCTGTTTTCCTCCTTTCCAGCTGACAAAAGCCCCCTTTGTCTGGGCATGATTTTCCTACATAAGTCAGAGGTGGTAAAAGTCTGACACCCATATTGTGTCAGACTTTGTGGAGAGGACCCAGAGAACCTAGGTTCTGTGTTACCACTAAAAGACTGTCATTGGGCTCCCACCTTAATTTGACACATCTCTTTACGTAAAATAACGAACTTCCCTTCTTATTTAAGGCAGTTCATTTGAGGGTTTGTATCATTCTGCAACAAAAATCATCATTGCTGGTAGAAAGCTGCATAACTCTGGCCACGCAGTCTTCAGACACGCTGAAGTAATGAATTAGGGAGGGGGGAAAATGGCTGCCTCACAGCTAAACCTTTTAAAAACAGCTAACGTAAAATTCCATTCACTCTGCCCAACAGTTGGCCATCAGGCTCAGCATCTGCTTTGACAGTCTGCACAGCAGAGGCTTTCAGAGGCTCTCTGTAGCAGGTTCCAAGGTTGTTTCCTGTTTTCTTTTTCTTCTGATGTCCATCCTCTTTGCCTTTCAGGTGGGGATTGAACATTTTAGTTAGGGTCCTCTCTTTTGCTTAGTTTGTTTAGATGCACAGATTTTAGTGGGTTTATTCTATGTTGTATGTTTATATGAGTGAGTATATAATGTAAGAAGTGGGAAATAGTAAGAGCTGGAGAGGACAGGAACTCCACAAGGAGAGCAACAGAACAAGAAAATTTGAACACAGGGAACTTCCCAGAGACTCATACTCCAACCAAGGACTATTCATGGAGATAACCTAGAACCCTGACAATGCAGCCACTTCTGATGAGAACTGATAGACTAAGATCAGAAAGGAGAGGAGGACCTCCCCTATCAATGGACTTGGGGAGGGGCATGCATCAGAAAGGGGGGAGGGTGGGACCAGGAGGGGAGGAGGGTGGGGCTTATGGGGGGATACAAAATGAATAAAGTGTAATTAATAAAAGTTAAATAAAAAATTTAAAAAAAAACCGTTAATGTACTGAGAAAGGGGGCTCCTAAGAAATAATGAGCTGGCAGAGGGCTCAGTGGTTAAAATGATCATCATACAAGCATAAGGTCCCAAGTTTGAATCCTCAGGACCCATGTAAAGTCAAGTATGTTGGTAGCACACATCTGCAATCCCAATGTTCATACATGAGATGGGAGGCAGACATGGACAAAGCCCATGGGTCCTCAGTAGTGAAAACTGAAGAAAAAAGAGAGACTCCATGTTAAACAAAATAGAAGGTAAGAACCAGCATTACAGATTCTCCTCTGACTTCCACACATGCCCTGTAGCTAGTGTGCAACACACACATACACACACCAAACAACATATAGGAAAAATTAAACACAGGAAATTCCAGAGAGTTTAGAATATTGGAGGAAAGAATGCCTCAAACTCCTACCTGGTATTCACTGGATTAAAGACAGCAATCCTGACATAATTCACTTAAAGAAAGTTCCATTGCAATAGTAGTTATTATCTTTTCACAGAGTCATAGCTAATGAAGAAGCAAGGAAGCAGTACCTGTTGCAGCCGCTCATTTGGTGACAGTGCTAGTTGTTTCACAGTTTACTTTATACTTGTCTAATTAGAAACACTGCTTCAGGCAGCCGCTCCCATCTCAGGGCCACAAATGCTCAGAAGCTCCATTATGAAAAGTGATCGGTTCCCAAAGATGGTCCACCAAAGACCACTTGACTCCGAATGGACTTGAAGCATGTTGGGAATCATGGCAGAGCCTAGGACCCATGCTTACCCATTGGAACTCACAACACTACTCCAAGAGGAAGTGTTTTCTATCCAGAACTCTGACATGGCAGGGTACCGTGCTTCATCCCTGCCTGTCTGAATCTGCACAGTGCAAAGAGAAGCTTCCCACAAATCTGGGCTTGAGAAAGAGCTGCATCTAATAGATACGAAGACAGGAAAGTTTACCTTAAAGCTTTCTCCTAGGTCTGTTTTCAATTTTCCTGCATCTCTGCAGGTACAGAGAGGTGAAGAAATGCATGAAATGTATAGTTCTGTTTCTGCATCACTGAGGTTTCTGGGTCTGGGGAAAGTTGATTCTTAATCACTGCTCATAAAACTGCCCCTCAGGAAACCCCTGTGCACTATGGTCTGAAACTTAAACAGGACAGACCTTCTGGTCAAGCAACGGAAGAGACCTGAGGCTTCCCAGACAAACCTTCCTAGAAAAATGGAAAGACAAGCTAAGGAAAAATAATGAGAAAATAATTGTTAGAAGATAGAGAAAAAAACCCCAAGCAACAGCCTAAATAAACACTCACCAGTAAAGCAATGGCTACAGTGTTGTATCAGTGTTCCAGGACTGTAGGCAGCATTAGATACATAAGCCGTGCCTGTGAGACACAGGCAGATGAGGTTGAAGCACAGGAGCTGAATTACGTTCTCCCGCCCTTGCCAAACTTACAGGCTGGACTCCAGTTCCTCTGCTTATGACTGTGTCTGAAGATGAAGTTTCTTAAAGGGGTCATTACGGTAAAATGTGGTCAATAGAGCGAGCTCTCAGCCAATGCTTCCGATGTTCTCACAGGAAAGCAGGACACAAACACATGCAGAAAGAAGATGGTGTGAGGACAAGGGGAGAAGACAGCCATCTGCTTGCGAGGAAGAGAGGCTTCAAAGACTGTCCTGAGACCTTGATCTGTCTGTTCCAGGACTGAGGAAAGACTTTCCTGATGTTTAGGGAACCCAGGCTGCCTTACTTACTAATGCAATCACAGCTGGCAAGTCCTCACTAGGAGATGTGTGAAAACAACTAGGTGTGAGCACAGGTGCGTAACAGCCATTAAAAAAAAAAAAAAAAAAAAAAAAAAGGCCCCACTCTGTCTGGTAAGAGTGGTCACATGTGGAGAGAGATTGAAGTTGGGATTCAGATGGTGACTGATGATTTTAGCTTTAAAACCTAAGGGTTGAGAGTGTACCAGGATCATTGGTAGAGCAAACCAGGGCATGTAGGTCATCGGTAGACTGTGTGAAGTAGCATGAACAAAGCCCTGATTTCATCTCAGAAATGCAGAAGAAGGGGGAAGGGAGGGAAAGAAAAAGAAAAAGAAAAAAAAAAACAGAAAAAGTAACCTTCTTCTATGGCACTGTCCTGAACACCCAGGCAGAGCCCTTTACCGGCTGAGATCAACGCTCTCTGGGGGTTTACTCCACGTCCACAACCCTCTTTACACTTGCAAGCATGTAGGTCACAACACTACCTATCTTTGTAAGCCTTTGTTCCTCTGTCTGTCCCTCATGCTTGGCACAAAAGTTCCCTTTAACCCCAGAGTTGCTGACCTTCCTTCTGAGTGAAGCCCAAATGCCAGCCATTTTATAAGGATGCTTAAAAGTCTCTCTTGGTGTATTTTCTAGAGGCACTCCATCATTGAGGACCACAATACCTATTGTTGCTACAGCCAAATAATGTGCCTTTGGTTCCAGGAGATGAATGATAGACACGTTTTCTACTGGATTGTTTTGCCATCACTGCCTTTCAAAGGCCTGAGAGTCCATCTGAGTATCCTACCAGACTCCCACAATTCTAAGAGCCAGACCGTAATCAGGACACAAAGTTCTTTTCTTAAACTGTGTAAAGGGGACAATTATATTTCTGGGTCAGCCACGACCCATTTGCTGGAAACTCTAATGAGACGTGCTTTATTCATTTCTGTGTCCACAGAGTTTTAAATTTTTTAAACCACGGTAGGGGTAGGTGTAAACTGACCCTCTCATGCCTTCCGGCAGGCCTTACCTTTTCATGGGCTTGGGTGAGCATTCTCTCTCCAGGTTGGAACAGGTGTGTTTCACATGCATGGCATTATAGGAGGTGTGGGTATAGTCATTTTCATCGCTGTAGTCAGGACCAAGTAACGTCCGGGCCCACGTCCCCATGTCATAAGGAGGAAGGGTTCCTCCAAATTCAGACGGCAGAAACTCAGGGTGGATTAGCTGGTGAAGGCTGTTTAAATTGTTTCCATGTAGGAAAATCTGGAAAGGAAAAAAAATAACCAAAAAAAAAAAAAAATAACCATAAAAGTTTAAAACATGACCAAGTGTTTAATCTTATATACACTTTAGCAAAGACTAATTGGAGGTGTCTCTGGTGACCATGATGTTCAAAGAGGCAATTATTTTGTGTCCATGGCGTAGTCATCATAAAAGGCTATTCTATCACTTAGAAAATGGGCTGAATTGACAGTCATTTTTAAAAAATGAAGTTTAAGAATACACTGGACATTATTTGGCCACCACCCAATTTGCGCCTACAGTCACCTCCTAGTTATTCCTAGGAGAATGGGTCGGTGATACCAACTGCTCCAGAGTGGCTCATGGTTCAACCAAGGACAGCCTCTTCCTGCAGAGTTCCTGGGCCCTTCCTCATTCTGCTTCTTCTCCATAAATCCGTGTCTGGCCCACCCATGCTGCTCCTTCATGAGTTCCCTCCCACGTATTTGTATCTGATGCTTCCAGTTCTGTTCCAGTGAGTCCCAGTGGGCCTTCGAGGGAACAAGATGATGATATTTTACCCTGCTGACATATGCCATAGTTACAGGATGGTGTGTGCTGTAGTAGAGAGCTCAGTCGGCTCACCGGAGTCACTCAGTGTAAAACTGTGCATGTGTTGAAGGGCATGCTTTATGGCGGTTTTCCCTTTTTTCCTGCGGAGCGCACTGATACCCAAACAAGTTTGTGATTTCTGAGCACACGGTATATAATGATCCAAACTGGCCAAAATAAAAAAAAAAATAAATAAAAAGCTTCACAATTCAGTTAATTTTAGATAAATCCACACATGATGCAATAAGTGGGTAATTGTCACTGACTGCAATGTAAAAATTGACCTTGGAAGTTGGTTTAAAGTACATCTGTGATGACATGGGTTCCTATGCACATTGCGGGCATGAAACAATTACATGCAATGCATAGGTTACACACAATTAACCATATGGAGGAAATAAGTGGCACCCAAGTGAGACACCATCAATTATACTTGCACACGCATGCCACAGCTGACAATGGTGAAATTTAAATGTGAGTTTTAAAAAGCCCTCATTTGGGTTTCAGCAACAAACTCCACTGACTTGTGTGCATTGTAACCTGTACTGTAGACAGCATCAAGGAAAGAGAAAAGAATGTAAGTGTAGAGCTCTTCTGGTGTTACAGTGCCTGGGAGAGCACTTTTGACATTGCAGTTGGATGTATTATAAATAACTAAAATATTCGGGCTTTCCTGAAGCTCTACAGTGGAGGATCGGCTGCACATGAAGTTTTGTCCCTGGTGTTTATACTAGTCATCTGTATTAACACAGCCTACACAATAACTTCTTAAAGGACAAGGTGGGCTGCTGGAGATGTCCCTGTTCTGGGATCTCTGCGGATCCTGCAGTCCAGAGGAGAGGAACACAGAGGCAGGAGACTGAACCCATGTGTCCTGAGCTAAGAGCTCCAGAAGCTCCTGCTCTGGTCCAGCAGGCTGGATCCAATGTGGAGGAATTCCCACCATCCCCATGCTTGGTAGAAGATGCAAGCTCTGGGAAGCCTGAAGCCATATTGCAAACAATGTCCAGCATGAGCTTGTTGGAACTGTCCTGAGTAAGCTATAAAATATCTCAGAAGAAAAAAAATATCTCAGAAGGTCCCCGATTCTTGGTTCTGGTGATGTCTGGTTCTAAGTTCTCTCCTTGTTTGGAAACAAGGACTTGACCTTCTCCCATAGTCCACTACAATGTTCTCTAAAGATCAAGAAGCATTCAAGGCTTAAGAATTAAGAACCCAGCGGGCATGGTGGTACACACCTGTAATCCTAGCGCCCTGGGAGGCAGAGGCAGACAGATCTCTGTGAGTTTGAGGCCAGCCTGGTCTACAAAGTGAGCCCAGGACAGCCAAGGCTACACAGAGAAAGCCTGTCTCAAAAAACCATAATAATAATAATAATAATAATAATAATAATAATAATAATAATAATAAATATCTTAGCATGATTATGATGATCATGCCACAATGTATTCATATAGTAAACTGCTGCATTATGTTCCTTACATACACAATGTTAACTTGTCAAGTATGTTTCGTAAAGTAGTGGGGATAGACAAAGATAAATGTCACCAAGTATCTGGTACATCAATGGCATTATGCCACATGTTTTCATGTGCTGTCTCATTAAATTGCTCCAAAGAGTCTGTGCTAAAGGAGTTAGTTTCCCCAAAATATAAATGAGAAAGGTCAGATACTGAGTGGTCAGTGGATGCCTGTTATTCCAGCTATTTAGATTGCCATGCCATCCTGCTCTGAGGAAAGAGGCTGGCTTCTCAAATATTGACTGATGTCATTATTATCTCAAGCCTTCCTTTTAAGATTATTTCATCTAATGAACAATGCTTTCAACCTTACAGATGATGGATCTGGCAGTTACCAAGGACCATGAGAGAAAAAAATATAAAGAACCATTTTTCAAAGTACTGATACAAGACAAAATGCCAGCTCCTGACATAGTCCATAAACAAGAAGTAGCAACTGGGTGAATGCCTGGAATCCCAGAAGTCCAGACACAGGGGCAGGAGGGTTAAGAACTTAAGGGTAGGGGCTGGAGAGATGGCTCAACAGTCAAGACCACCTGTTACTACTGCAGAGGACCCAGCTCCTGTTGCCAGTACCCACGTGGTAGCTCACAATTATCCGTAACTCCAGTCCCGTGGCATCTGATGCCCTCTCTCAGCCTCTATGTCCACTGCATACACGTGTACAACACAGATACACTTAGGTAAAGTACTCATGTACATTAAATGAAAATAAATCCTTTAAGAAAGAACTTGAGGCTAGCCTGGGCTACACAATAACACCCCCCCCACACACACACACACACATGCAAACAAACAAACATCCTCCACACAAACAAATATGAGGAGGAAACGGCTTCATGCACTAGTCCCACAATCATTTGTAGCAAAATTGGCCTCTGGTATCTGCATCCCTTCAAGGTTTCTTTTGGTTTGTCTGGTGCTCTGAAAATAACCCATTCTGCTGAATTATTGATTAAATACAAGTTATTTGCAAACTCTCGCTTGGCTGCAAATGTACGAAAGTCACAAAACCACGGAAACACTATTGGCGGCGGTGAGGGAGGGGCATGCACACACAGAATAGCTCTGTAATTGTCACCGACACACTGGCCACCCTCACTCCCCCATGTTCAAAGACACTTCTTTTTCATTACCCGTTTTCTTGTCTTGTCTTTAAGGAATGGCTTGATGAGCGTGTACAGGGCATGGATATACCAGGGCTGGTTGACAAAATGGACTCCTCCAAAGCGGGCAGGAAAGCTGTCCTGGGAAGGAAATGGAGAGAGCATGTCAGTTACCAACACTCCAGGCTGGGTAACAGCAGTAACACAGGGGCCAGCCTGCTCCTCAGGCAGAAGCCCCAGCTCCCAGAGGAAGAAAGGACTCTGAGGGTCAGAGTCCTCAGCTCCTGGCCCGTTACCTTTCCTTGCATCCCTCTTGCATTTTTCCCTCCTTTCACTCTACAGCCTAGCACTGTATGTAGGTTCCAAGCTGGTCCTCCCAAATGGCTCATTCATCAAGGTGATATGGAGGTATGTGTGACCGAGATCATTAGAAGTCAGAACTTTTTCATGGCATTGGGTAACCATGCTTCAGTTCCTGACGGCTCTGAGTATAGCTCTCCATCTCTTCTCTCCTTCCCTTTTCTCTCCACGATCTTGTGTCCACTGCTCAGAACTTGAACATGCCTGGTGAGTGAGCAGGTTCCACAGGAAAGGACTGCGAAAGGACCCCAAAGGATCTTATGAGCTGAGTTTTCTAAGTGACCCTGGTCTGACAGTATGTGCTGTCAGTCCCTTTCTGGATCTGTCTGTCCATTCCACCCTGGAAACATACAGCGGATCCTTGAAAGATAATGCTGAGTGAGGGCTGGTTGACAAGCCTAACTGAACAAGAGCCTCTGGCCAGAAGAGGAGCCTGTGATTTGCAAGCATTCGGGACCCTCAGGAGGAGAGATCTTGGCCAGGAAGTCTTGATGTGTGGTTTCAGCAGAGTGGGTTTGCCACTGCTAATGGAATTGAAAAAGGGGGAACACCTAAATGCTATTTGTGTCACCAAACTTGCTGTCAATCAGGTTCATTGCGACAAACATCTTGTAACATGTTAGCAAGACAACAAGAAACAGGGCAGCTAACAGTCCAAGCAGTGAGCTCTCTCTGTGGGTGTATGAAGTGCCATGCCTGGCTCTCTTTTAGTAAAATAACAAGCAAAGAGGGCTATTAACTTTTTCCAGAACTCTCTGCGCCTACAGGATGCCTAGGCAGCTAGCACAAGGAGACCTAGTTTCAATGAAAGTATATGGAACTGAACTTAAAGGCTGACATTTGAAAATCTTAAAAATAACTTTTTCTTCTAGCTAGACATTTATAAAATAGGGAATAATGAAACATTTTGAAGGCCAAACTAGAAAATTTCAGTTTATTTGTTCATTTTATTTGTCATGTTTTTTTAAATTTTTATTTATTTATTTTAATATATTTTTTAATTTATTACAATTTATTCACTTTGTATCTCAGCTGTAGCCCCCACCCTTGTCCATTCCTAATCTCTCCCTCCCTCCCTTATCTCCTCTCATGCCCCTTCCCCAGTCCACTGATAGGGAAGAAAATCCTCTCCTTCCATCTGACCCTAGCCTATGAGGTCTCATCAGGACTGTCTTTAAGAGTTTCTTCTGTGGCCTGGTAAGGCTGCCCCGCCCCCCCGGGAGAGGTGATCAAAGAGCCAGCCACTGAGTTCATGTCAGAGACAGCCCCTTTTTCCATTACTAGGGAACCCACTTGGAGACTGAGCTGCTATGGGCTTCATCTGTGCAGGGGTTCTAGGTTATATCTATGAATGGTCTTTGGTTGGAGTATCAGTCTCAGAAAAGATCCCTGTGCCCAGATTTTTTGGTTCTGTTGTTCTCCTTGTGGAGCTCCTGTTCCCTCCTGGGCTTTCTATCTCCCCCTTCTTTCATAAGATTCCCTGCACTCTGCCCAAAGTTTGGCTCTGAGTCTCAGCATCTGCTTTAAATACCCTGCTGGGTGGAGTCTTTCAGGGGCCCTCTGTGGTAGGCTCCTGTCTTGATCCTTGTTTTCATCTTCTCTTTCTCAGAAGAAGGTAAAAAAAGGAATTTTGTAAAAAAAAAATTTAACATTCATTTTACATCCTCCTGGTAACCCCATTCCTCCTCTCCTATTTAATCTTGAGTTTTAAAACTCTGCGAATATGGGGATTGAGTGATCACTTACATTAACATAAGTATTCACCACTACGTGAATGGTCCCCAAACATGACATGGCCACTGCCCTGCTGAACTGTCTACAACCATGATTACCAAGTCAGACTTTGTACAAGTTTGGACCCATTTTCCTGTTGTGAATGAGAGGGAAAGGGGTACGGGAGGCAGTGCTCTACAAAGAAGCCTGACTATCTTTTGAGGCCCAGCAAGGCTCAGCGAGGGTTGTTCCCTTCGGTGTAGGACAGCCCATCATCTCTCTTGCACTTGTGAGCAGTTCCTCACACACGCGTCAAGCTAGACTTGAGTAAAATTGTTTCTTGAGTCTGTTTGGGGAGAGTAGCTGTTCACCTCTCAGGAAGTTCATGAACAAGTGATGATCTTACTCCTCTACATCTGATTTCAGAAAAAGTCCAAGCTGTAGATAGCGCTCTCTCTCTCTCTCTGTATGTGTGTATGGGTAGAAGAGTTAGCTTTTTGTCTGTACTAAACTTTGAACACAGAACTCTGCTCATTCTAGGCCAGCTCTGCACCAGCAAGCCACACCCTAGGCCAACACTGTCTTTCTATGTCTAATTCAAGACCTAGCAATGTTTTTGGTTCCTTAAAAACAAGAGGCTGCCCCTCAAAGCTCTTCCTTTGTAACAAGGACTACACTCCAGGTTCAGTCTTTTTGCACCTTTTGATCTCTTATTCAGAAACATAACTTAGATGATAAATGTGAGCTCTGAGAGGTTATAGAAAAAGAGCAGGAATAAAGCATTTATTCATCAAACCCAGGCTTTACTGTTTTGTTTTGTTTACTGTAACTAATAAGAACATTTATATTTCTTCTGGTACTCTTTTTGTGTTCTATATTTTTAGGTTAGTAATGTAGAAGGAAATGCTAAAAAGTATTCAAAAGACAGTAGGAAAATCATAATGACAATATTAACCTTTAAAAATACAGAGACATTTAGTTTTAGTCTACAAAACCTTAATCATCAAAGACATCAAAAACTGTGCTCTGTTTGTATCAGAAGGGGTTGAAAAGAACCTTTCTCGCGTAGCAACTGTAAGTTCTCTGTAGTTTAGCTCAGGTTCATGCATCTGTCAGAGAGACAGAACAGGCTTTTATTGCCCTCACTCAAGTCAGTTAGTGAAAATGTGCAAGCAAAAACACATGAACCAGAGCCTTGGAATTCTGGGTTTGGGTTCAAGTAGAAGCAATGTTATTTTTCTTTAGGTCACTCCTATGAAGTTCAAATGAGAGGTCTTCCTGTTTTGTAACAGCCAGATGCAAATGTTTTGGGTAGAGCCTGGCTGTGTATTAACTGTGTGAAGGTGTATGTGTGTAAAGGGAAAATGTTAAAATTAAGAAACCCATTATTCAAGTTTACATTCCCACCAGCAGTGGAGGAGGGTTCCCCTTTCTCCACAACCTCTCCAGCATATGTTGTCACTTCAGTTTTTGATCTTGGTCATTCTGATGGGTGTAAGGTGAAATCTCAGGGTCATTTTGATTTGCATTTCCCTAATGGCTAATGACATTGAGCATTTCTTTAAATCTTTCTCTGCCATTCTACATTCCTCTACAGAGAGTTCTCTGTTTAGCTCTGTTCCCCATTTTTTAATTGGATTACTTGATTTGCTGCTTTTCAGGTTCTTTAGTTCTTTATATATACTGGATATTAGCCCTTTGTCAGATAAAGGGTTGGAATGTAAACTTGTATAACCACTCTGGAAATCAATCTGGCACTTTCTCAGACAACTAGGAATAGTGCTTCCTCAAGATCCAGCCATACGACTTCTAGGCATATATCCAAAAGAGGCTCAAGTACACAAAAAGGACATTTGCTCAACCATGTTTGTAGCAGCTTTATTTGTAATAGCAAGAAGCTGGAAACAGCCCAGATGCCCCTCAACTGAAGAATGGATGCAGAAATTGTGGTACATCTACACAATGGAGTATTACTCTGCAGTGAAATATGAGGAAATCATGAAATTTGCAGGTAAATGGTGGGACCTGGAAAGGATCATCCTGAGTGAGCTATCCCAGAAGCAGAAAGACTCACACAGTATATACTCACTCATATAGATATATGACATAGGATAAACCTACTAAAATCTGTACATCTAAAGAAACTAATCAAGAGAGAGGACCCTGACTAAAATGCTCAATCCCCATCCCAAAAGGCGAAGAGGATGGACATCAGAAGAAGAAGAAAACAGGAAACAACCTAGGAACCTGCCACAGAGGGCCTCTGAAAGGCTCTGCCCTACAGACTATCAAAGCAGACGCTGAGACTTATGGCCAACTGTTGGGCAGAGTGCATGGAATCTTATGTAAGAAGTGGGAAATAGTAAGATCTGGACAGGACAGGAACCCCACAAGGAGAGCAACAAAACCAGAAAATTTGAACACAGGGGTCTTCCCAGAGACTCATACTCCAACCAAGTACCATACATGGAGATAACCTAGAACCCCTGCACAGATATAGCCCATGGCAGTTTAGTGTCCAAGAGGGTTACATGGTAATGGGAAGAGGGACTGCCTCTGACATAAACTGATTGGCCTGCTCTTTGATCACCTCCCCCTAGGGGGCAGCAGCCTTACCAGGCCACAGAAGATGACAATGCAGCCACTCCTGATGTGATCTGATAGACCAAGATTAGAAGGAAGGAGAGGAGGACCTCCCCTATCAGTGGACTTGGGGAGGGGCATGCATGAAGAAGGGGGAGGAAGGGTGGGACTGGGAGGGGCGGAGGGAGGGGTTATGGGGGGATACAAAGTGAATAAAGTGTGATTAATAAAATAAAATTAAAAAAAAGAAACCCATTGTTATAGTTTGAGTCTGGAATGCCCTCCACGGTCTCATGCTTTAAGACCTGAGTCACTCAGGACATAGGAATGTTTTGAAAGGTGGGTATTTGCAGGCTACAGACCAGCCATAGTTCTGTTTTCGTCTATGTTTTCTGATATACCAACCTTTGGCCACCACAGTCCAAGATGCCCAAGCAGCTAAGCCTTGCTCACCATGATCAACTGTTTTCTCTGAACCTATTAGT